ATCATATTCATTGATAAAATATGGTTCAATAAAAATAGCAAGATTTACAGTAGTAGGTTTATGAGTAAGAGCGAAGACCCCATAGAGCGAAGACCCCATAGGCTTTGGCTAGGATGAAGATGGCTTTTGGATGATCAATAAACATGCATAAGTGTCAAATTGTAGATAGTATTTGAGCTTATTATTAATCACAGCTTTTAATAATACTTGTAAAAACGTACGACAACTAGACAAAATGGAATTGTATTTCAAAATATTACAATAAACATTGCACAATCTCTGCAGGATATTCGGATCTGTCATAAGGGGTCTTATGAGAAAAGGCAAAATGGCTTAACATTTTTGAGAATTGCCGGTATATATGGACATATAAATGAGAACTCTGTTTGAATATTTAGTTGGAATATACCTATTAAATGACATTGGTACATGATCAGCAGAATATACTAGTAAGTGACACTGAAACCGGCACTGAAAAAGGTAAGTCTGTTATGTACTTTCAGATTTTGATTTTCCCGCTGTACTATGCAGGACAAGACTCCGCGAGTGACGTCACTGCTGTATTCAGCGGCCTTATGAATATTCATGACGTGACTTTATGGAAAGGTGTATAAGATGGAATGTATCTATTTATATGCTTTCAGATAAAGAGAAATATTTAACCTGCAAACAAATATATAAGTCTGGAGTAACTCAGCTCTCTATTGGTGTTTAGAAAGATGAGGTGATAATATTTGAATTTTCCTGCTCTTCTTAATTAGACATTAACATCTCATAAACAAGAACACAAATGTGTACAAAATGTCCCCACCTATGGGTGATCCCGTCAAATGGTTATCCTAAAAATGAGTAGACAAGACTTTACCGACACAATTTGAGGACGGAATATCAAAAATGGCCACCTTAAAATTTACCCAGAATGCCAAAATATTAGTCAGTTCTAGATTTTCATACTAAGAACCACCCCTGAAAATTTGAAATTGATCCCTCACACAGTTAACCAGAAAACATGTAAACAAGGCTTTACAAACAAGATTTTAGGACGGAAAATCCAAAATGGGTGCCTTGTTATTTAGTTAGAATGCCAAAAATCTATTCTCTTCTAGATTTTCATACTAAGAATCATCCCTGAAAATTGGAAATTGATCTACCAAACGGTTCACCTGGAAATGCGTAGACAAAACATAACAGACAAGATTTTAGGACAGAAAATCCAAAATGGCTGCCTTGACATTTACCCAGAATGCCCAAAAACTAATCAGATCTAGATTTTCATACTAAGAATCATCCCTAAAAATTTGAAATTGATCTACCAAACGGTTCACCTAAAAATGCGTAGACAAGACTTTACGGGCAAGATTTTAGGACAGAAAATCCAAAATGGCTGCTTTGACATTTACCCAGAATGCCAAAAAATTAATCAGATCTAGATTTTCATACTAAGAATCATCCCTGAAAATTTGAAATTGATCGACCACACGGTTCACCAAAAAATGCGTAGACAAGACTTTACGGGCAAGATTTTAAGATGGAAAATCCAAAATGGCTGCCTTGACATTTATCTAGAATGCCAAAAAACTAATCAGATCTAGATTTTCATACTAAGAATCATCCCTGAAAATTTGAAATTGATCTACCAAACAGTTCACCTGGAAATGCGTAGACAAGACTTTACAGACAAGATTTTAGGACGGAAAATCCAAAATGGCTGCCTTGACATTTACCCAGAATGCCCAAAAACTAATCAGATCTAGATTTTCATACTAAGAATCATCCCTGAAAATTTGAAATTGATCTACCAAACGGTTCACCTGAAAATGCGAAGACAAGACTTTACAGACAAGATTTTAGGACGGAAAATCCAAAATGGCTAACAGGTCCAAAACCTAATCAGATCTAGAATGAAGTGAGCTGAACAAGATGTTAAAGTTTCAAAAGCAACTGTGAAGCCATTTTTCTTAAAGTTTGCAGACAAGGATTTTAGCATTTGACTTCAAAATGGCCGACAGGAAGTAGGTATCGAGTTAAATTTTTTTCATCCACATCTAGATGCACTCATAAGTTAACCCTGAAAATTTGAAGGTGATATCTGTAGCGGTTTTGGAGAAAACTGCCGGACGTACGGACGGACGGACAGACGGACATACGGACAGACAGACGCGCCTAGGCCGACAATATGGCCCCGCACTATGTGGTGGGGACATAAAAAGGCATTAACATTATAAAATGTCAACACTTGGTTGCATACAATTGGTTACAAAACTGTGACAACTTGTTACAGATATCTAGATTTTCATACTAAGAATCATCCCTGAAAATTTGAAATTGATCGACCACACGGTTCACCAAAAAATGCGTAGACAAGACTTTACGGGCAAGATTTTAAGATGGAAAATCCAAAATGGCTGCCTTGACATTTATCTAGAATGCCAAAAAACTAATCAGATCTAGATTTTCATACTAAGAATCATCCCTGAAAATTTGAAATTGATCTACCAAACAGTTCACCTGGAAATGCGTAGACAAGACTTTACAGACAAGATTTTAGGACGGAAAATCCAAAATGGCTGCCTTGACATTTACCCAGAATGCCCAAAAACTAATCAGATCTAGATTTTCATACTAAGAATCATCCCTGAAAATTTGAAATTGATCTACCAAACGGTTCACCTGAAAATGCGAAGACAAGACTTTACAGACAAGATTTTAGGACGGAAAATCCAAAATGGCCGACAATAAAAAAGTGATTATGAGTTTTTGCCGATTTCTTTTTACAAAATTATCACATATAACTACTGTTAACAATAACATAGGCTTTTACAACAAAGTACACCTGCAATTATTTATAAAGCTACAAAATAGTTAAAGTATGAAAACTGAAAAACACCATTCAATATGATACAAAGTATTATCGCGCGCTAACTTTTCTTAAAACATTCAAAATGGCTGACATGACTGAGCTAACAGGTCCAAAACCTAATCAGATCTAGAATGAAGTGAGCTGAACAAGATGTTAAAGTTTCAAAAGCAACTGTGAAGCCATTTTTCTTAAAGTTTGCAGACAAGGATTTTAGCATTTGACTTCAAAATGGCCGACAGGAAGTAGGTATCGAGTTAAATTTTTTTCATCCACATCTAGATGCACTCATAAGTTAACCCTGAAAATTTGAAGGTGATATCTGTAGCGGTTTTGGAGAAAACTGCCGGACGTACGGACGGACGGACAGACGGACATACGGACAGACGGACAGACAGACGCGCCTAGGCCGACAATATGGCCCCGCACTATGTGGTGGGGACATAAAAAGGCATTAACATTATAAAATGTCAACACTTGGTTGCATACAATTGGTTACAAAACTGTGACAACTTGTTACAGATATCAATCAGCAACTACTTACAACTGACCATCAAACATGAACTGCTATCTATAGGTCAGTCACCAAAACTAGAGGCCATAACAATGCTGCATGGTCCTTTAGTTGAAAATATGTAAGATAAATATTATTTATTTAACCCGACTGAACCCACCAAACAATAACACACATATGCATATACATGTTCAAGGACCACCCATTGTATTCGTTTTGGCCACATCTTGAAAGATGTAATACCTTTTATCAATAAAATAAATTATTATTAAAGTAAATTATTGCTTAATCCCCTTGAGTTTTATGCGAATGCAGTTACTTAACTTTTGGGCCAATGTTTGTGATTTATCAAAAAACTAACATACATAGAGTATCATTTCAAAAGGAAACAACTTAGAAATTAATTAACATTTTACAGGGTGAACCAAAAATGTCTACATGTTAACCTTTTTAAAATTATATGAATTATATTAAACATTTTTGAGGCAAAAAATTTCCCTCTAACCCATAGTGTCCCTTTAATGTATTGTATAACTGTCCTGTCAACCTGGGTTCATAATTCTCATCAATTAAGCCATTTTGAAAAGGCAATAAATCAGATAGCATTGTATGTGTTGGCTTACCCTGCGTGCAGAGTCTAGTTAAACTACACTCTGCCTAGTAGAGACCATATTATAGTTTAGTAGCCCCGCCCCCACGACGGGTACCGGTGACAGTTTGGGTTATAAATAACTTTTGACCTATGCGCTGACCTTTCTTCCAACAATCAGCGAGCTTGAGGAAACATACGCCAAATGCGTTCTAATTAAATATGCGCATGTCATTGGTCAATTCCGGGCTCAACGATGATGTCAGAAGGAATGACCATATATAAAACGTCGGTCAATTTTGGCCGACGAACACTGATTGGCGCGGTGAGTTCACAGGTTTATTTTAGTTTGAAAGAGTGAAGACGAAGCTCTCTTTTAAGAAGTGAAGTCAAACGAATGCAAAGGGTAGTGTTGGCTACATGCTTAACAAGTTGTAATGTCAGAGTTAACTCTAGGTGCATCAAATACTTCTTTGATGAACATTTCATACATACTTTTTTAGATATACTTTATGGATGAAAAGTAACAGTAATTTCTAAATCAAATTTTATAATTCAAAATAAAATCCACTTTTTGGAGAAGGGAGTTAAAACTGTTAGTACAATTATTCAATAATCTGCTTTTAAAGGTTTTAACATAACCTCAAATTGCAATCTGACAATTTTGCTCCATTCCTACTCTCCAGACTAAGAAAAGTCATTCCGATATTGACAGAATGTTGACAGAAGATTTTACTACTTTAAAAGAAAGGTTCATTTACATTCATTCTATAATATAATACCTTTCCTTGATTTAACCTAATCTAATCATATGAGAACAATTAATATTCAGCTATTCAATCAGAAATACAATCAAAGAAGTTCATGGCCCTTTAGAAGTTGCTGACATTTCTTTTATACTCAAATCCCCATGGAAGATCACTTCTATTGAAATCATAAAGATCCAAATCAAAACTGTAAAAGTGTAGCCAGAGGGTAGTAATTCCTCCTAGCCTCTGAGCTCCATGCTTGGACTCACACATCCAATCAAATGCTCTTACCTGTAGTGTAAACCCCCATGAGTTGCCAGATTTCTGCATGAGCAGTGTACGTCGTCTCTTGTTCTCATCTCTATCTGTCTCAGCAACATGGTCGCCTTCAACTGTCTCAAGCTCATCACCAACAGACTTACGGTTCTCCCTCTGGAAGTAGATAAAGTGTATATTAATCATAAATAGCGCAGATGTATTAATATTAGACTGATGAATATAATGTTTTCTTTTGTTCAGCAGTCCAAATTACAAAATAAGCCCATCCTGTTTACCTTTATGACTTCAAAGCCAGCCATTTTGCATACTTTTACAGATAATCCTTAAATCCTTACCATGTTCTGCACACTCATTGTTTGTGAGTGATATGAGCATCTCTAAAAATCAGTACTTCGCAATTAATAAGTAACCTAATCATTCTTTTTATTTAACTTCCTTAAAGCGCAAAGTGCCAAATGATTACATGAAGGAGAATTATAAGGAAAATCAAGAGGCAATGAGGAAAATTCCTTATAGTGTTATCTTTTAACTTACTAGTAGTACCCAGGGCATGATGCCCTATTGCCCTTAGTTTGGCATCTACCCCCTCTATGTACCCTGACCCCTCAATCAATACACATAACTACATTGGGATTAATCCATGTTGTCTATTTTGGCATGATCATAATTTCAGATTCTTAAAAACACTGTCTATTTTTGATGAACAATCGCTTTTGACTGAGTAGATAGTAGTGATGTTTCCAAGGGATACTTGGGTATGGAATCATATGATGGGACATGGGGAAATAGATGATGCAAAATTAACAAGTCAGAATAGGGAAATACCTAATTAGACACTTGAATGATGAACTAAAAAGAGATTAAAGTTGCTGCTTTGCTTGGCCATACATTTTTTCTAATATATACTATTTTCTAAAATCATCCAGAAATAGATCCATTCTACAATCACAAATGAAATATCCAGAAATTTGCCATGCTGAGAATTCCCTACAGGGCTTCTGTTTTCCATATGTTTACTCAATTATACATGTAACATGTAGTATCTGTATTGATAAAAATAAACCATTTCTGGCATACTAGAGAGTTTCTTGTTCAAATGAAGTTTAGATATGTCCTATTAACACTAAACATAAGACAGGATATTTTTTTCCTATTAATTGTTATTGTTTTACTTTGTAGGTAAAATCTAAGATGAAGATAATCCTAGATACAGAGATACCGATCCACTTGACAAAAACAGCAAATGTATGTATGTAAACATATGTACATGTGTGTAAGGGTTTAATTCAAAATCAGTTTGACATTTATTGATTTCAATAAAAACAAATGAGACAATTAACAGATAATTTGCGCATTTACAGAAATACTGTATAGGTGAACTGTGCTGAAACAGATTTATGATATACACGGTGGGACTACCCTTTGTCAAAGTTTGATTTTCCTCCTTGAAGACAACTTCATCTGTGGTCCTTTTGAAGAATTAGATAAACCAGTTATATATGACAAGCTTCCTGAAATTTTGCAAAGCATGTGAGAACAACTTATGATGTCCATTGTTCTGTGTCGTGATTTGGACACTTATCAGAGGCAAGGCACAACTTAACAAATATAGGGAACAAATAGAAACATTTAGAAGATCTACATGTCGTAACAGGCCACTTTAGTGCAACCTATATTTTCAGTACCTCTCTATATATTACATAATTAAAGAATAAATTACATTGCATTTCAGTAGAAATTCCTGGTAGAAACCTGTACAGAAACTAGATAGCACTTCAAAGAATACCTAATTAACATATTATCAAGTATGTAACTCTCAGGAATTTGAATTTTGCAATCTGACATGCAAATCAAAGCAAATTCATTATAATTAATGTAACTTGAGGAATTTAAGCCAAAATATTTATGTAATGATATGTCCAAAGATCTAAATAAAATGTTTCTCTCAATAAGAGAAAAGTATAACTAAACAAACTTATTCAAAGAGTGTCTCCTTCAGTAAAGCTTAACACCAGCAGAGTGACAATTTGCTCTCCTGTTAAAAATCTGTTTGCATATTACCAAACAAAGACTCTCCTTCAATCCTTTGGAAGGGCAAAAAGACCTTCTCCTCCAGGAGAGCGAAACATAACTATGACAAAGACCCATCTCCTTTGAAAACACCATCATTAAACAATCACATTACAAGTATACCGATCAATGAAAAATTGCATCTTTGAATCTTTTGGTAACAGAATTGAGTTTATTATACCATGTGATTTGTTTCAATATATTCTTAAAGTTGACCATAATGACTGAATACAAGGCATTAACATGCTAAATGTCACCACTAGCCATTTGTTACAGATGGCGAAAGCTGACCGCCACCTGCTGAACACTGGCTACAAAAAAAGTAGGAGACTATAACAATATGTCACCATATAAGGTTGCTAAATAATAAATCATCTTTACTTTTCTACTAAGTTAAGGGCTGGTAAGTTCTAAGTGCTTTCCACGTAGTAACGCACACTGCATTTCTTTTTATCTTTTTATCTACTTTTAATATTGTGTTGTATAAAGTTAAAATAACATTTATCATTTATCTATACATGGCAAAGTCATCATCTGAATAGATCTTTTAGAAAGATATTTTCTGGTGACATCATTTCATACTTATTTATGTGCCAGTTTATCAGTTTATATATGGTAAGTAAAATGTGACTGTCTTAAATAAGACTTTGCAAAACATCTGATTTTACACTCTGTCTGTACTCAACTTGGCAAAGTGTTTTTGATGAACTCTCACTGTAGACTATGAGGTAAAATTGCTCTTTCTAATAGGACACATTCCACCTTAATTGGACCAACTTGCATTAATCAAACTTGACTGTAATGTCTGATACAGTTCACAAATAAAATAAAATGATGACATTCAAATAAAATGATTTTGATTAAAAAAATCTGGTTAATGTGCAACAGTGTATAAACACAGCAATGCTATTGTATTGCTATTTTCATCAAGGCAAAGATCCAGGTATACTGTTGATATCACTTCTCATCTTCACTGCACAATACCCTGTGCTATATTCACTCACCAGTAGAGTACTATACTTTGACTATAGTCTATGATTCACAATTTGACAGTGTGCCATTCGACCAATCATTAAGCATCACAGAGCCTGATTAATTTGTTATTGTAATCACTACGGAAAATCATTGCTGAGCAGTGTTCAGTTCTCATTGGACCAATAAGTTCATAAGTTTATCACTCAAATATAGAGTGAGAGGATATCAGCAGCTCTTGTAAAGGGTTGATGTCAAACAGATCCAGGTTGCATTACTCACTGCAGGCCAACACAGGTTAATTATCTGTTTTTAAATTTTAGGCCTAGGTTGGCTTTTCTATAATATTTATTCTACATAGTAATAATAAATATCGTAAAATTACTAGTCAAAATGAGAGAAAATGGTAATCTAATTATTTTGGTGTGAGGAAGAAAATGTTTCAACTTTTAAGGAAGTTAGGATGATGAAAAATAAACAATCAATCTGAAAGAGCCTTTAAATCTTACAAATGTTAATATCAATAAAAGAAAAATGAAAAATCTTAATATTCCATTCATTTTTATCTTTAAATTGATGGAGTAACCAATGCATACTTAGAGCTAGTTTTTCATTGTTAATATGGACATATATTTTTCATTGAAATTATTTTTTATTTACATTTGTAAGGGCTGAAGATACCCTAGGTTGCATTCTGTCAACATCAAATTATATATAAGAAAGGTATAATAAATAAATATATATTGTCTCCTGTGTACACTTTATGTTGGTTATATATTTGTGATTTCTAGGAATAGAGGATGAAATAAAATATCATAAACATTTAAATGGGTCATTTGGGATGATGAAAATCTATAAAACATACATTTTTAATTTATTATATTTTAAAAAGTTGATAGAATGCTTTTCCGCAAATTGATGGAATAGTTGTGGAGTTAGGACCAAAAAAGAGCTGAAACATGATGTTTCTGCAATATAAATGACGGCCACTTTGAATATTTGCGAAACATTACTTGACATTATTGATAACCTAAAAACTAAGTAACCTGTACAATTTCAAGCATATTGTTTGAATACTTATTGAGTTGTGACCAATAAGGAGCTCAAAACTTTTTCCACAAAAAATGGCGGGCTTTTGAGCCACTCACTTTGAGATGGACTGACTGATGGATGGACGGATAGACGGACAGATGGATGTGCCAGCAGCTAAATATACAGAAAATATATTTATATACAGAAAAAATCAAATGACTTTACAAAAGTCATAGGGAAAACAAACATCTAGTATTCCAAAGTATAATTCAACAGACAATTCATAACCAAGAATTTGTTTACTGCCTTTGTGATAAACTGAAAAATATATATTGCGAGAATAAGGGCATAAATATCCTGTACTGCAAGCTTCATACGTCACACACACATTTTTTTAAATGAAAACTGTGTCACTGCTTGACATGGTTCATAAATGTCAATAGATTGAACAAAGATACTTTATATTTTTTTTCATAAAAATGCTTGGAGTATGTCAAACGATTTGATGTCAATGTGATTATCTGGGTAACTTGCTGTTTATAGACAATAGACATGATTTATTTGAAAACTTCTAAACAGAACAAAGCCAAAGGAACTGTTATTTTCATGCTATCATACCCTTTTCAAGAGTTTCATTTCATCTCTCAAAAAGAGGTCTACAATAAACCATACCATCAAATTTGACAACGTCATAAACTGTCAAAAAATATTGAAAAAGAGAATTTTGAAATTATGAAGTCTCTAACTGATATATGTATATGTGTTTCAACAGGCTTTGATACTCTAATAGAGTGATATGTGATAGATATAGAAGGATATACTATGAAAGTGTGCATTCTAAATATGTGTAACTTGGTTATATGATAATTAAAGACATTCAACAAGTAAGTCAAAACAATTGTGGAGTATGAAGAATAGAAACTAGTCACGCTGACTTGTCTAAGTTAATTCTTTACAAAGAGAGTCAATGAGGACTAAGTCTCAGTGAAACAAAGCAGTTTGGAAAATTTCATTCAAAAGTGGTCATTTAGTTTGTAGATATTATGTTACGAAAAAAACTCCTTAACACTAGTACTGAAAGTAATGAAATATGATAACATACGTCAGACAATAACAAAACAAGTGCTAAAAGATACCAGTAATCACACAATGCATACAGTCAAGTGTTACTCTAATAAAGAACTTTATAGCTAAAAGACAAAATGTTTCATTTAGCTCAAGTACTCATTGGTATGGAATAACTTTAAAAACATTTAACTTATTTCTCCCAACTACAAAACACAAATTCAAGTTACATAAAATTTATTAGAATAATATTTTGTCCTAGCTTCATTATTTTACATTTAATACACAATGTAGATATGGCTTCCAAATATGTTCTTATATAGTAGCCGAGAGTAGCTACCATATACTATATATATATATTTGCATGAGTCTCTAGTACCCAATCATTATCCCCACGGGACCCCACCCCTTCCCCCATTTCTTACTTTATTTTCTTACTTATGGTTCAAAATAAGAATGGGGAGACAGAGAAACAAACATCTATATAAAACTAAACGTGAAACAGGTTTTTGGAATGACCATCAATGATTCTAATCTGAGGCAATGGGCTTGAGTAAGAGTGGAAATCAAACTTTGTCCAATAAAAAATCCAATTGTTATTGTACTTTACGTTATTATTTAAAACTAATGATTTTTCTATCTATCCTGCTATCCTAAATTAGAATAAATGAAATGCAGTCAACTGGACTAAATGTTTTAATTAAATTTTAAGCTGGCATGATGCCACATTCAACTGAACATATAAAAGTTAACTGATTGATTACATAGATCTATTGTCCAGCCCTATTAACAAGTTATCTTGTTGACTTTTAACTGTGGAAAACATTAGTTATGATATAGCAAACATCATGCCCTGTGTTTTCCCAAACACATATGGGACTTGAAGTGAGGGAGGGGGAGACACTTGATGCAGTCCACAATGGCCAAACTGCCATACCTGGGAAGGTGTTTTGATTAAGTTGGGGTTTAAGAGGCATCTTATTCCTGTATCACAAGAATGTTATGAGATTTGCTCTTGATTACAAAACTGTACTTTGCTCTACTCTGTAGCCAAGGCATAAATTAGGCACTGTATCTCATTGAGATTCTCTAGAACAAAGCCTCATTGTTTATGAAGACAACCCAATGTCCCTGATGAACAGCAAACTTACATTGCCCTTTCATGATGAAACCCACATCTATTGTGACATAATTCCCCACAATGTAACTGTGCACATCTAATATTTGAGCTGACAAAGTCTCCTGACACTGTCATAAAACTTCAGGATTATTGAGCACATTTAAAACCCTCTCAGACCGGACAGTATGATGAGTACCCATATATTCAAGATATGTTTAATTCCTTTTGTAAGGAGAGTTCAGATATCTTATCATATGCAACCCATCACAAACGTACAATTTAGTAACTAAATTATTGAACTTATAGTTCAAGATGTGTCAATGGTGGTTCTAGCTTTTCATATATCTTAAAATATATCCTTAAAATAAACATTAAATCAGCCTATTTTTCTCCTTGTTCCTCATCTTTTCATACTTATAACACATATGTATAGATCTAGCATGTACTTTTTATTCGAAAGTTAAGATAGAGTAAATTAATAAACTGTTTAACATTCCTTGTACATCTTCCAGCCCCTCCTCCCTACTGGGACCTCTTCTATACCTTACGAAAAATGAACATTCCTGAGCTGAATTTTGATATGAATCAAGTACATTTTGCATCACTGTTTATGTTAAGATTATGTGAACTGGGAAATACAACACTTAACTGAATGGATACCTGATACTAATAACTTATCTTGAACATTTCCTCGTGTTTTGAATTCTGTATTTGAACAATGTGATCTAACTTCCCTCAACATATCAGTATTATCACATGTGGTCTATCACCATGGTTATAATACAATTCAAGTCCAATAAAGCAAGCCATATTTATCAAGTGATCAATGATTAATAGTTACACCATCCATTTGAGAATGTGAAAGAATGTTTACATTTTATTTATTTGCCTTGGCCTGTATAATAGAATGGGTTCAGAATAACCCTGGGTTCACTGGCTAGTACTAATCGACTCTGACTAAGATGATCATTTTATAGTTTGCCAGTCAACCAATCAGAAAGTATAATAAAAATTACAGAAATATTATTAAAGAAACAGAAAAATTTAGCTTAGTAACAACAAGCTCTGATTGGCTTGGCAATTACAAATATCTGTTTGTGAAATTAAGAGTATGACTGAGGCAATTACTATTGCAGAGGGTAGCTTCAGATGCTTGTATCTAGTAAGCTGATCTAGGGGATGGGGAAAACACCTGCTCTGATGATGAAAGATTGAATAAACATTTATCAGATAAATGTTATTGACATCATGGTGCAGGGAATTAAATACACAATGCAGGGCATAACAGTATATACAACTATGGCCCATAGCCACCTTTTGCCAAGGGAGGGTTCGATTTACAAAAATTCCAGGGGGGGTCAAATTTGAGAAATCACAAATTACTTAAAAAGTTTTCAAAATTATGAAAAACTGCATGATATTGAAAAATTCTTTTACAACCAGGATATGGTAGCCTCCTCCAATGAGCTGTAGAGTAACCGTCCAGCAGAAAATGGTCATGAAATGGTCCACATTCTGATGCTCTAGGGGCTAGCCACTATTGAGGTTCATAACAGTCATATTGAAAAGATAGCAATGCCCAATACATGTTATTTGTCAATGTTTGCTTATTTCGATTCAGGTGTTTTTGATATCAAACTTCTGATAATACAAAAATTATAAAACTGCATGGCCTGCTTTGAATGTTAAAAAAACATCATTCTGAATATAATAATTTGGCAAATATCTTAATACTTTTTCAATGGTCTTTTTGTATTATGCATATCTTAAACTTTGCCAAAAACCTGGCTGTTTTGATTGATAATTAAATGAGTCAAAGGCTGCTTATAACCTGGGGCTGATTGACATTTTTATTGAATTATTCAGTAAAGATGTCAAACTTTTGTCTCAACTAAAATGAAAAGTGGATGTATACCAATACGATATATGCATGCTATGACATACAATGCCAAAATGAGAATCTTCATAAGTAATAAAATAATAATATAAAATATAGTACATGAATAAAAAATAACACATTAAGTGATGATTTAAAGATGGTTAGTGTGGCACATTTGGTTAACATCAAAAATGAGTACCATTTCAAAAAAGTTTCAGACCCTTATCAATTATTCAATGCATGGTTTCTTTTCGTACACACTACAGTAAAATTTTAAATGTTAGTAACTACTTTGAATTTAAAAAAATAAGCAATCAAAGGACCATATTGAAGCAGTATATGTAAAAATAAGAAACATTTATACATGTCCTAACTTTTGTATATTTTGGTTTGTATTGTAGTTTAGCTATCATACATGTAGCTGTGCCCTCTTATATTTTGATGCTTCTCCGCCATGTTATTTTCGGAAAAATTAACATGGCTGAAACTCCCTAAATTACAAAAGGTCAGCTTTACTGCACATTATACATAACTATCTGAAATATACAAAAGTTAGGACAAGTACATATGTTTCTATTTTTTTATATACTGTTGCAATATAGTCATTTGATTGCTTATTTTTTAAATTCAAAGTACAGGTTAGCAAGAGGTGTTATATCATAGGGGTCTCATAGATTGGGCCAAGTACAGAATACTAATATCAGGAATTAACATACATACCTAAAACAAAATCAATGAGTTGGTAAAAACATCTGCTATAAAAAGTGTACATTTAGATAAGAACACCTGGATTCTAAAAAGGCCAAGAAAGGGCATCGAAAGCATAGGAGACAGGTTACCTGAAAAGGAAGATAGATATCATTATCTCTTATCTAATCTAATCTTGTATTAGATAAGAGATAATGATATCTATCTTCCTTTTCAGGTAACCTGTCTCCTATGATCGAAAGCATAGGCCAAGGGAAAAGTAATAGTAAGCTGTATATAGAAGAGACAGGTCCACAAGTAAGATTGAAAATTTTCAAATTTTTTTAGTCTTGGCACTAGTTCTCCTTACTGGTTTCAAATTGTATTCCCAAATCTCTCCAAAATCTTCTTCAAAGTGTTTTTCAAACTTATATCATTGTTTTTTCAAATCTTTATCTAAAAATTGCATATAATACTGCATATAAAACAACAACTATGGATATCTGCAATTGCCTGGCAAGCTGAAACTGATTGTCACTGGTGGAGGTCAGGGAGGTCAGCAGTGACCAATCAGATCACTTGTTTACTAATGAACTTGCCAAGCAATTGTAGGTTTTCAGAAATTCTCTCTTTTAGACAGCATTATTCACTCTATATCATCTGACTGAGTTTCAATCTTAGGTAAGAGCTACAAACTATCAATTTTCTATCAACTCCCCATGGTTTTTTGAAAATAATACACTAAATATTGTTGAAATCTCTGTTTTAACAAGTGGTCTAAGTCAGAGTTGTTCACCTGTCTCTTCTATATACGGCTTACTATTACTTTACCCTTGGCCTATGATCGAAAGGGACAAAGAAAAGAAGTTGGAAATTAACTAACCTCGTAAAATATGAATAATATTCAGTAGTAGTGACTTTTATTTGTTAGTTTAAAATCAAATACATACGTTGGTTAACACTGTTATAAACTCTCGGTCAAGTTCACAAGTTCCTTGACAAGTAAAAAAGAAAAAAAGATGTCATCAAAATCCACCCACCTTTTTCTTGTGCCTTTTATTCACGTGAAAATCCTTAGGTGGGGCTAATGACATCTTGAGACGTTCGGATGTATACTATTCCTCACATTTTATATTAGTTAGGATGTCCAAGTGTTGTTTATTAGCCCATTTTGACAGATTCAACTTATCAGCTGTCTTCTACAGAAAAAGTAATCTGACCTTTGAATGCCGCACTAACACCGACAAATACATTGTAAAGTTAAGTCAAAATATTGAAGCTAGATTTGGAAATATTGTCAAAACAATTTCAATTTGATCGAAAAGTCCTGATTTAATTATGAAATACGAGTTTTATGCGAAGAAAATTAGCTTTGAATATTATATCTTTGTTATTGATGTAAGCGGCAAAACAATTAGTGACCTAGATTCGAAAACGAGGTAATTGTGAAAATGGCAGCGGTTCAATCAAAGTCGGATAACAAGCTCTCTCTCGAAATAAGGACGAAATCTGTCGAACAAACGTTGGTGCCATTGGTCACTCAGGTAGAATATTTGTATTATTTTACTTTCTTCAATTTCAGGCTAAAATTGTAAAAATTGCATATAGATATGTGGAGATATTTCTGATTGAATTCAATCAGGTTTTTCAGACAGTTCTGCAAAAATCTTCATGATGAGTCGAATGAAAACAAAATAGATATTGAATCATAAGATAATCAGATGCTTATTTTCTTTTTTACTATGACATGTCATTACTTTTGTGCACATTATCTAGTGTTTTATTCAAGAGACCATGATCTTTGATAGTTGCCAAATATTGATTTTTGAAAAAATAATGCATATCTGTAAGTATTTGACATTTGAAGTGATATATTAGTTCACTTCTGGATTGCTAACTTAGAATTTACAGCCAGTTACTAATGTCAGACATTAACAACATTTCGTCCAGTTTTTGAACATCGCCATTTTTCTTTGGAGCCATTTGTTTAATTTTAGACGAAATCCTGAAAAAATCATGCAATATCTCATCTTGCGATTTTTAAAATATTCAATAAATTTATGACACGCCAGCCAACTTTTTTCAAATGGAGTTTACAGTATTCCAGATGATATTACATCTAGCCAAGAATTGGCTAGACTCGAGTAAGGTAGTGACATTCATGTCTTTCAATATCATTTTACAGGCCTGTAGCAAGGTGGAGCAGAGGGTATGGTCGCTCTCCCCTGGCCAGAAGTTTTTTTCAAAATATTGCAGTTTTTCACCATTCTGAGCACTTATTGCATGATCTTTTAGCCAAAACTGTCAAAAATGTCAAAAGCTCCCCCTTGGTAAAACTGCTCCCCCTTGGTAAAACTGCTCCCCCTTGGTAAAAGCTGGCTATGGGCCTGTTTTATCAAGTGATTTTAAAAAATGTGCTCTCTGTTCTTTTACTTTTATGGTTCCAGTAAATTTCTTAAGATGCACTCATCTTTGCACGATGTTTGAGTAATATATGATGAATAAAACTATGTAAGTTAGCTCATTGTGAATGAAGAATAACACTATATTCTTTCAAACACCAATTTGTTTTATTGGTTAATTCAACTCTACCTTATGAAATATCAAACTTATATATAACCAAGGGAAGTATTGGTGAATAGATCGGAAAATATTTTAACTTGTGGTTTAATTTTGTCAAATTCTCTATGAGTGAGCAGCAGGGAGACTTTATCATTTGATTTTGTTTGTTCAGAGCATATTTGGAGTATGTAGATAATCAACACCTAGAACTTTAGTTAACATTAATTAACAGTGAAAAATCAGAAACTGGAGTATAATTCCTGTCTTGATTTCAGTTTAGAATCAGTGTTTGTACAAATACATCAAACTATCAATTCTAATGGGACATATTGTCAAGATGACCTTGACCTACCTGGAATAGATTTATGCTTTGCCAAAAATGTACAGTTGTCTTGTTTTATAGTAAGACGCAAAATAATATTTCATACTCAATTATGATTAAGTGTACTTCTAGTCACCATGACATAATGTTTGTATATGCCCATATAATCTTGTTTATATTAGAGATCTGGTAATTGAGACTGGTATGTCCTGTTATAAACTGGTTTGTAATGCAGAAACCTTGTATTTATGGTTCTACTAGATTGTTTATGTTTCCATCAGTTTTACACCTCTTACGATATATTTACCATTATTCGAATTTTCAGTTCTTATTGATTGTTATTCTGATTATACCTCCCTATGAGTCATTTCATTTGTGAGACAACAGAAACCTGTCGATGTACTCTTTCTAATCTTTGCCAGTCTAGTTCTCTCCTGTTAACATTTATTGATTTAGTAAATGCCAAATAAGGTTCTTTTACATGTTAACGAGCATGGTCACCACATAAATGATTGTACATTTTAGCTAATCACAATGTTGTTGTCAAATAATACAAGTTACTCTGATGTCTTTTTTCTAGCTAGTGTTAAAACTACATTGTAGTTGAGCGTCTCTCTCCCTCTCTCTCATTTTAATCATAATTCCATTATAAGAGGAAGATTATATGTTTTATATATCATCATTTATATCGCGCGCTAGCTGCAAGAATAAAACATATGATTGCTCTACAAATATAGAAAATATCACTTTGATCTGTATAAGGTATCATTACTAACAATATTCAAAATTGGTCAAAAAATGATTTGTTTTATTTTAGTATTAATTGTCTATTTTTAGTTGTATATGCCTTGCTGTTTATGAAAACATTTGTCAAACTTTTGATCAGAGACAAGAATATTTATCTATGTTTATAATACTTATCTGAATATGTTCTGGTATTTACTATGTGGCATAAATAGAGCTTAATTGAATTGGTTTACATGTCAAATAAATGACCACATATACTAGCTGTTGAGTTAAGAGATAAGTGTGCCACACACAATAATTGCTTCCCTGCTACAAATGTAACCTTATTTTCTTGTTTTTGTTTAAATCAATCTTGATGACTATTTCCCAATTCTTTCATTATCTAAATAGTTTTCATGTCAAAGTGACATACGATCAATCTATATGATTGTTATGGCAAAACATAAAAACACAAGGCATAAAGCTACATTCTATATCAATAATGAGGCTCCAATGCCTAACAAGTCAAAATGTGTAGATGATTGCATTTGTATATTGTAGCAGTTACTGTTATAAAGAGGCATTTTAGTCAAAACAAAAATATAAAATGTAACCCTCATATATGTTCAATCATTATTCCACATTGAGAAATATAAGGATCAATTAATTCTTTATTTGCATTATTGAGCTTTACCATAAACTACCAAGTTGTAATAAATCTGTATGCAAAATGGATCAAGATGTATGTCTTATTTATGAAACTTTAACATTGGTTTCCTGTATTCTGCTCTCTAAAAGCTTTGTATTGATTCATCCATGATAATGATAGGCGGATTAAACATGTAGCCTAATGGGAAATTATCACTCAGACGTACCCTTAGAAGAAACTCACATTACTGTATATATACATACCTCTTGGCTCATTGAATTACATATTAAACAAGCCATTAAATTCTTTTGGGTAGCTTGGTATGTAAAATTGGAGTTTTATGCATTTGCTATGGGAGGTTGGTTCTGATAGTGATATCAAGGGGATTAGACTCAAGGGGGAGGTTAACAAAACAATCAAGGATCAGTAATGACCATTAAATACTCTGGTTACTGCAGCTTTGGTATCAGGTCTGCATCAAATGCTTAGATTATCAGAAGAAATGTTTTAGCTGCCACCTTTAGTGTATCAAATTCTTGTCCTGGGACATAGGGAATTGATTGCTGAACTATAAGAATAATCAATGTTGAATATAGATAATATTTGTTGATAGTTAAATAGCTATCATGGCTAATGTAGCATCCCATTGTTTTGCTAGATATTGGTTTAAATAATTTATATAACATGTAAGTGATGTCAATACTATATAGTTGAGATATGATTTATTACAAGTAACCTTGCCCCATTCCTTCCATCACCTAGTCTCTCTATCTTGTTCCTTACCCACATGAGATTGAGAATGCCAGGTGGGTAAGACCGGGGCATTTAGCCATACCATGGAAGACTTTATTCCAGTTTAAGTAAATTGTGTAGAATGTTATTGTAGCTAAACTAGCCTTTAATACAGGAAGTAGATATCTGGTTATAGCAACAAGTCCATGAGAAAATCTAATTAGCCAATCCAATCATAATTATGGCTACATTTCAGGATCCCATTAGCAATCTATTAAAGTCCCTCTATAAAGTTGATGGTGCTATAGATTGAATAAAAAAATTTGGAAAACTATTCTATTCTATTATTTGTTCATTTATATAGATGCTATTCTTCATTTTCAATTTGCTGCACGAACACTACTATTCAACAGAAGGGAAAAGGAATCAAGTCATTTTTGTTATACATGTGGTGGTAATCAATGGCATAGCGTGGGTATTTTGTGAGTGTACGCCACGAGTAAGCGAAACTCTGAGGGGGGGGGTTTGATGGTTCTTCCCCCAGAATATTTGAAATGGAGATTGCGTTTGAAACCTTCTGGGGAGTTTTTGAATACGAAATTTCGACTAATATGGACTAATAAAATGTAAATTATTGGCCATATTTCAGAATATCCAGTATTTCTAAAGTATTCAATATAAAAAATCAACTTTTCTCTAAATTTAAGAGTATGCCATGGTATTTTATGCATATATGACGCTACACCATTGGTAATTGTGACAAACTCCTCTAATGGATATGACAATGTCCAATCTTTATACCATTCCATGATTGTGGGTGGGGGAGGCTGTTAAACTCATTTGAAGGTAGAATAATAATACACCCCCACCCTTCCTTGTGACTCTTATTAAATAGAGGAGGGGAGAGGTACTGGCACAGCCTAATGCAAAGTCCAATGTTCCTCTGATTAATCCTGCTCTCACATGGCTTGCTCAGCTCACTGTTTTATAGTCTGGACAGTTACATGACATGATATAATTACTCTCAGGAATTTCTTGGAAAGTGTGCTTTGAATACAGCCACAATACAAGGCATCATAATATTCAGCCATGTTATTCCAATTCTGTCTTTTGTCTATCTTTCTTTATTTGGAGGTGCAGTTAAGAAAGTTAAAGGAGATTTGATATCCTTTGGAGCAAATCTTTGTCTCTATCTCAAATTCCCCTTTCAGATATGTGTTTGCTATATACATTGTATTTATTACTGCCACTTTGAAGTCACTCTCTTGCAAAGGGGAGAATAAATTCATTACTTGTGTTGCGCCTGTTTGCAAATCTGTTTTGTACTCAGTAGAAACTTTGGAAAATTATGACCAGTTTTGGGCATTCCTTTGTAAAATCTGGCTTAAAGTGGGGATAAGCACTCATTTGATTAGAATATCACATGGAGAACTCTAGAAGAAACAGAAGTAGCAATAGTCTCTATGTTAGTGTGCCAGAAGGGTCATCATTACTGGGGAAGAACAGGTGTTATGCCTTCTGATGAGAAGGAAACAGTTGGTCAAGCAGAGTAA